ATGGAGAGCAAGGTCATTTAACTGAGTTCATATATGACAGGTGTCCTGCATACTGCTAGGATCAACGCTATTGAATTCATCGTGAGTAGTGATAAGTTGATCCTAGCAGTATGCAGGAGTTTGCAATACAACCAAAAAGTGATAATTGTGAAGCCCCCAAAATGGCTCATCCATTGAAATTGGTTTATCAGCTGAAGTGTTTTCAGAAAAGAGTTCTGAGTTCTTCGTACAGAATAGAAACCCACCAACCATTCTTCAGACCTTGTGAGGTCTTACCACTGTGCTTCAAGAGAGTTCTAGGTCAGGACCTGACCTACAGTTATGAAAGAGTCAGAGGACTGACCATTTAGCATGTTGGGTAGTTATTAAATGTTTTCTGCTGAAAAGAGGGTGCTTACTTGGGACGGTCTTATTGGCTTATAACTTGTAACCCAGGGCATGAGGTAATGCTGCAGCCTTGTCAATGGTCCGAGATATTAGATTATTCAGTTTTGTTGGTGATCTATGTAATCAAGAGTTCTAGGTCTGCCATGTAAGTCTGATTCTGTCTTACTGTAAGGGAATCTATCACACACTTTATATATACAGGTTCTGTACTCACCTGTTGAATGGTGTGGCTAAAAAATTTACCAAAAAGATGATTTAAAATTTTTATTTTTCCTAACCTTTTTGATGTATGGATTATGTCATAAACATCCTTGCAACATATAAATTCAAATGCAGCACACTCACAACATTGAACATAACCAGTGCGCGTATCCAACTTGACAAGTAAGATAAGCTGAATGTTCACTGAAACAGTAGTGATTTTCAGATTTAGTGCCTGGGGTGTCAACTGAATTTTGAGAGGTAGAGGAGTGATCAACATTTCCACATCTTCTTTTCAACCAAGAACCTTTACAGAAAAAGTTACTCATAGCACTGATTAGGTATAGATGATGATAATCTAGTTGTTTCACTTTGCCTTACAAGTGACCCACTGGCTTACCAGCTTTTGTTGTTTGATGGTGTTTACAGGACAGACTGTTAGATTCCAACACTGTAACACATCTCTTTGAATTGTCAGAGAGAATAGGATGTGTCATGACTGGACTTATAGGTAAGGCATTCTCCCTGGTACCTTGTTTTTCCAGTTACACTGTACTTTTATGAAACAAAATTGTGCATTTATTAAGTAGCTGTAATCTTTATTATTGCTTTTGCATTTTGTGATATGTTGTTCATTTCAAATCATAACTTCTATGGCTGGGAACACTGTTTAGCAATAGAGTCTGTGGCAACTATATGGGAAATTTCAAATATGAATGGACATTCTCATTTTTAACACACTCATCATTAACAGTATTGATTTGATTTGATTTGAAACAAGACCTGTTTTTGTGCAGCATTCAAAATATGTTGACTTTGTCCATTAGGTCCATAATGACAAGAAACTTCATAATGCATTTGAGACAACATTCAGTGTATTGTTGACTTTTAATTTTACATAATATTTAATTGCTTTCATTTGAAGCTGATGCACGTTCTCAGGTTCAGAGAGCAAGATATGAGGCTGCCAACTGGAAATATAAATATGGCTATGAAATTCCTGTGGACATGTTGTGTAAAAGAATTGCTGATATTTCACAAGTCTATACCCAAAATGCCGAGATGCGACCATTAGGATGCAGTAAGTACAGTTGCTAAGGGCTGTTTGTTAGTGAGGAATACCGTGGAAGGTAACACGGCCAAATCTGCTTGTCTGGCTGCTTTCCTTGACTTACTAGACATATAAAATATGTACATGTACTAGTAAAATCACTTTATAGGAGTGTCATGGTAAAATCTGTATCCTAGAACATATAAAGAAACCATATCCATGTATGAAAACTGCCCCAAAACAATCATGCACAGTACAATACATAGATTTGAGCTCTTTATTTGTAGATAATTTTATGTGTTAACTATCTATTTAGGCTGTTTTATTGGTAATAAATAGAGAATGGATCTACATTCCTATTTATTGGTTTTCGAATTCTCAAGCATTTTCATGTTGTGTCTTTGAGGTCATTTGCATTGCATGGCATGAAAATGACCAATAATGGTGATGTGGTGTTTTTGTCCAGCGTTCATTGTTCTGTGTGGTCTAATATTATTCCAGGTATGATTCTGGTTGGAATAGACGAAGAAAAAGGTCCACAGCTATACAAAACAGATCCTGCTGGTTATTACTGTGGTTTCAAAGGCTGCAGTGTGGGTGTAAAGCAAACAGAAGCCAACAGTTTTCTGGAAAAGAAAATAAAGAAAAAACATGCTTGGACACAAAGCGAAACTATTGAGGTAAGTAAAGTATTAAAATGCATGCTGTAAGTCTGTTTACCTTATACAAGTACCAGAGTTGAAAGTGCATATGAAGGTTGTGAGAAATTCCTGTTATTAACTTGATAAAAATATTGATATACCAAAAGAGAACCTTTGCTGAGTCATTTTAAAGTTACACTACATTAGCTTCAAAATATCAATGAAAAAGTTTTGCACAGTGTTTCAGCAAAGTGGTCAAAAACAGGTCAAAAACTCTACAAGGTCAGCTACATGACCCAACAAATCAATACAAAATTTATAATGATTTGGTGGGAGCAGTGGGAATTGACCCGTTGGAATTCCTTGTTGACACCTTCCCTCAAAAACTTATCTGGAACCCTGTTTGCAGTTATGAGAACTATGTTAAAATGTGTTCAATTTAGTTATTTTTCATCATTATTGGATAGCTGTTGTAGAAGCTCTAATGTATTGTTAGTGACTGTTGTAATTCAGAGGGTTTTTGACTGTTTGGTTATTTTAATGACATAGTGTTATTTCCACAGACTGCCATCAGTTGTCTGTCATCAGTGTTGTCTGCTGACTTCAAACCATCTGAGATAGAAGTTGGTATTGTCACAACTGACAATCCACGTTTCAAGTAAGTTAAATAATTTATTTTATTAGGAGTTCTCAAAGTGAAACCTTTCAGTAAAGCCCTGTAACTGTGAAGTGGCTGGTGAAGGTTTCAATGGGTTTGTTCACTTTTAAATATACTTGTATGTAATGATAATAATTGATAATTGATTATTAATGTCTTCTGTTTAAAGTGAAAACTTAAATGCCTTTTTTTATGTGTAGGGTTCTCACCGAGGCTGAAATTGATTTACATTTGGTAGCCATAGCTGAGCGGGATTAAACAAGCATTATTGGACAACACTGGCAACTAGCTTTCAGGAAAAGAATCAAGATTGTTATCATTTGCAGGAGACTTGAACTGCTTAGATGTCTAGAAAGACTTTCCTAAAAGCTAACTATGGTCCTCACAACTTTGCAACTCAGTAATACATGCACCTTTTTAAAAAGTTGGCTCACTTGTATTCCTATAACCACCAATAAATTGATATTATTGTTGTGATCAACTGTTCTTTTTGAGTGAATTGAATTTATGAGTTTTAGTTAGAATTTCAAGTTTGAGCTTCTAGTTTGAGTTTGAATTATTTCCCCTTTGGCATTTTGTAAGTCCTGGTTATTTAGGGTTTTTATTGTCATTTTTGCTTAAAATGTTGGGAGGAAGTTTGATACAGTAGTATGAAAGCTAAGCTTCATAGGTTTAATAAGGTGCTCATCAGGCTCAGCAAGCTTCAGCAGAGACAATGCTAAGGAGGCTAACTACAGTGGTATTAAGTGTTACAATAGTCATCAAACTCATCAAATGGACAATCCCTCTTTTGTATAAATACTCTTACTAGTGCTGGTGCAAGCCCTTAGCCAAATACCTGTCAAGGATAATTTACTGACCATGGCTGTCATCAAGTTTTGAGTCACCTGTACCCTTGATCTTCACACCTGTAGCAAACGTGTTACCTTCTGGGTGAATTGCATCAACAACACCATGACATCAAGGGCCGATCAAACATGCTAGGCCGTATCAGGGGGTAACCCGAGAACACTGAGCCCCGGTCCATGGACCCCCACAACGGACCGGGTCCACGGACTACCCCTATGGACCCCTCTACGGACGACCCTAAAATAGTGTAAAAATAATAAATAAAGATTTCACTTATGGGTTGTCTAATAGATTCAGGCTCGAGTCGGTGATTTTTCGAGTGTTACACTGTGCAAATGTAACAGACTTGGGTTTTTAACACCCCACCCCCGGCCCCTTCCAAAATAAAATGCCTAAAAGCTGTTTTCAGCGTAAGGAGATGCCGATGGTAAGAAGGAAAGTTCTTATCTTCCATTCGTGACTCAATCTGGCTATGGAAGATATACTTTTAGGCTGTTTATTCTTGTTGTTTGTGTTATTCCGCTGAGCAAATTGTGAAGCCTGGAGCAAGTTCACGAACCCACGGGAGAATGGGCTGAACAAAATGGTAGAGGGGAAAGAACACAAATTTCGAGGCTTCTTTCGTTTACTTTATGGCCACAGCAAAGGAAATGGCAATGTGTAATGATATAAATTGCACACGAGCCTGAATTCAGGTCTGTTACATTAGCACAATGTAACGTTCGAAATTTCGCTTTCACGAGTAATCTTTTAGACAACCTGTAACTGAAATATTTATTTATTTATTTTGTAACTGAAATATTTATTTTTATTATATTTTGGGGGGTGGTCTGTAGAGGGGGTCTGTAGGGGTAGTCCGTGGACCAGTCCATTGGTAGTCCACGGACCCGGTCCGTAATGGGGGTCCGCGGACCCGGGGTCAGTGTTTTCGGGTTACCTCCGTATCAGGTGTTACGGGTTACAGCCCTTAATGATAGCCCTGTTGACTTTGCAGTATATTTAACAAATGGTAAACGCCACAGCGTGCACTATCGAGTTATGGATGCACGCGGGAGGTTGCTAAGCACGAAAGAAGCGTAAGAGTTGCACGAGGCGATAGCCTCGTGCGACTCTAGCTTCTTGAGTGCTTAGCAAACCTCCCAAGTGCATCCATAACTCAATAGTGCACGCTATGGCGTTTACCATTTGTTTTATAACATAACATTGAGACATTGGAACAACAGAAGTCCTTTTATTGAGCTACACAAAAAAAACGTTCGCGTAGTCTTACATGACAAGAGAAAACAAGCGCGCGAAAATTCATTCATGACAACTGACTGCACACCAGTAACTCGATAAAGTTTCATCTTCAGACAAC